CGCAGCTCATTCAAGACCTCGTTTAGCAGTGCATTACGCCGCCTTTTTCTCCTAGTTGCCTGGGAAGGAACATTTTAGCTGGCCACGGTTCCACGGTATTTTAATAGCTGCTGTGCCAAATGCATCTCGCATCATTTGATTCTTTAGAACCACCTCGTTCTCATTAAAAGCAATTCAGGTGCTCAAATACTCTGGTGCAGTGACCCGGATAAGTACTATCCAAGACAACTAGAAGCAAGGATTCGTGAAATCTGATCTTAAGGTAGTTACACATTTTTGACAAACTCCGTCTTACGACTACACTTTGATAGTTAATCGATAGCATATCAGGAGTATTAGCATCAGTTGTAATGAGCGCGCGATTGTTTTGGCGAACAAAATGATACGATATCATCTGGCAGTGGAAGTGCTCAATTACCATGAAGCAGTGGCCTGCCTAGATGTCTTTCCCTTAGGCAACTACGATCAAGGGGATCGTAACAGAGAAACTGTTATGGAAATCATTTACTGTCTGCTTAGAAAATTTTTCGTCTATTTTTCCCACTTGCATCAGATTACAAGCCTCGCGGGTGACTGTAAGCTCTTTCATCGTCGATTAGTTTCCGGCGTTTGGTATTATACTTTTCGACTCGTTTTTCAGAAGGAATCTACCAAGAGACTAAGGACAACGAGGAATGCGGTCGGAAGGAAGTGTTTTTCTATCAGGTGTGATCTGCGTTGAAATGATGCATTTTTTGTCATCTGCTTTCAGGCTGACAACGGACAGTATGTTCCACGTGCCATTCTGATTGATCTCGAACCGAGAGTAATCAACGCCGTGTTAAACTCCGAGTACGCCGAACTTTACAATCGCGAAAACATTTGCATATCAAAAGACGGTGGAGGTGCCGGCAATATCTGGACAGAGGGCTACTCACAGGTATCGCATTATCAAACATAAGGCAGCTAGCGACAGCTGCTGATCTTCTTCTTTAGGGTAATCATGTTTGCGACGACGTGTTCGACATTCTTGACAGGGAAGTGGATAATTGTGACAACATGGAGGTGTTTAGGTTTTCTTCATGGCAGTCATGTGGTTCTAAATCATTTTCTTTTCAGGGTTTCATTTTGTGTCATTCGATCGCTGGCGGTACTGGATCTGGTCTCAGTTCTTTTTTTCTTGAACACATTCATGACAGGTATTTCGCGACATTTGATTGCTGTTTACGTGTATTATTCTCAATAACTCGTGGACACATCATCTTTGTTCTTCGGTCTAAAAATGAATAAGTATTTTAGCAGATCTGTGACGCTAATAATGTTTTGAAATTTGTGGAATCAACCAGTTCGACCACATCTTTGGAAGACCGCCTACATGTCAAATGTTTTCGTACATCAGGGTATGTTAAATGATGCATGACTCCTCCAAAACCAGATTTCATAGCATATTGCATCGCCCTTTGCTCAGTTTTGTCTAGAAGACCATTTAAACTGGCCACTTCATGTTTTATGAACATCTGCAGGCCCTTGAATCTTGCATAATTTTTTCCCGCTAGAGCCAGCTGCAGGTGCTCAAAAACGAGGGAGCGGTGGCCTTTTTTAATGATAACGACTAGGAGCAAGGTAGCGTTGAAATATGCATTTACGCCTGTTCTTGAAAGAGGTATGCGCTGTTTAAAATACTATAGCGCACGAAAATATCTGATGTGTATGCTGTGGCGTACAAAATGAATCAGAACATGAAACATATGAGTATGAGGTAAATTAGCGAAGAAAATGATGCGAGGTGCATCTGGCACTGCATTTTCTCAAATTTCATGAGGAAGTGGCCTTCTTTGCATCATAAATCCATGACCGCCGTCCAGTATCCTACAGGACAGTTTCAGAAAGCTACGGATTGATGTTACTACCCATGAATATATGATTCATGAACAGAAGTTTAGTTTCACTACTGGCAATGAGAGAAACAAATACATGTCGTTCGTGCAAGTTTACGTGACGTCAAGGAGAAATGGTCTAATTTCGTGACTTCTTCCGTTGAGCAGTTGAATGACAGCTTTTCAGGTGACACCGTAACAAAGATACGAAAAAGAGCGGATCGAACCAGTTTCATGAAATCCATCGTCAGTGACCAATTAGAGAAACGTCCAAGTCTGCTGGTCTAGGCAGCCACCCCTGCTAAAGTTGATTAAGGGTATGGCGCACCCAAAATGTAGTAAAGAGTTTTTTATTACAATTTGTTTATCAAGCCGATAAATCATTACCACGTAGTCAGTCTATCTTACGGGCTGTCAAGGTAAGATTCGTTTTTGTTGGCACCGAAATACGTCATTGTTTAAGCTGAAATGCTAGTTTCGGGTCCAAACAGCGGCATTCAGAATCTGCGCCGCCAGTCTTGCCATGAAACGAGTGTGTATGGTGCAGGCCGACTCAACCATAGTAATTTATTGCCTTGATAAACAAATTATTGCATTGGTTTCGTAACAACTCTGCAGTTGCCGGTCCCAAGCCTGGTTGATAAAGAACGAGGGCTGAAGACAGCGGTAAAGTCTCCATAAAGGTTCGCCACCTCCATCTCGTGGCATTGACGTCATCTAAAATTATATCGACTCTGTCGTCGCCTGGGTTACCAATGGCCGCACAGGCTGTTGAGGGACTGAGGCACATTGCGAAAAGTCGGCGGTCAGAACCTGCTCATCGTCCTCTGCCAGCCAGGGGCGTAGCACGGCAACAACTGCTGACAAAGTCCGATGGAA